TAAGATTATTACTAGTATATATATATATATATATATATATATATATATATATATATATATATGAATGATCAAATTAATTGGTAACTCATAGGGATAATTCCAAAGAGGATATAAATCCAGAGATCTCAATATAATAACAGATTAAATGATAATTAAGACAGCGGAGATTTTAGAAGCCCATGGTAATATTTTATTTCGCAAAATCGACATTTCGATTTCATTTCATCAGACCAAACAACGTTTTCAACAATGATTCGATTTAAATTCTTCCCAAATTATGTCTAATTTATATATATATATATATATATATATATATATATATATATATATATATAACGAAAATCATGGTAATCCGTAAGGATAATCCCATTAAAAATTATTACGATGGAGCCTTAAAGGGGTCTGCTTGTTATTAAATTAATATATACATATATATATATATATATATATATATATATAGTTATCATTTATACACCCACTATCATGGTTTCAACCATTAAGGTTTCGTCAGCCGACAGATTCTAGTTAATTTCCTAATGCATTATTTGCTTATTTTCTGTGCGCATAAGAGAATGTCTGAAAGATAGGGAGGGGTCATGGCAAGAATGGGTGAATAGAGTGAAATGTGGCGGTAAAATATATACCTACTTTCCTCTGGGTTCATATAAAACCAAAATATATTTTTTAGTGTGTCGACACCTCGAATTGACTTCGGACGTCTCATTTAACACCTTTTTTGTCTGGATTCATTACTACTGCTAGTTTTTTTTTCCTGGCACAGCTTATAGACATCACTACCATTATAGTAAGCCTCGACTATTCTCAGTATACTCTAGCTTACATTACGGTTTATGTTGGACTGTTCCGCCTACTATAAGATTAGTAGGAGAGAAGGCCTTGGGGGAAGAGTCGACCAGGCTGTTGATTTCAGCCTCTCTGCCTCCGCGAGGCCGCAGGGCAAAGTTTCGTCCGGGGAGGTACACAGGCCCGTTTAGGCGGTTTCAAAGAGAGTATTTTTTGGCCGAGCCAACGGGCTCGGACTGCCCACAATAACTCGGCCTTTTGCTACATATACCCTCGTGGGGGTGCTGTTAAATATTAACAGCCGATCAGACTGTCCATAACTGCCGAACTCTCTGCCTCAGCAGGGAGGAACCCGGAAGAGGCTTTGCTGAAAGGCAAAGTTATTCCGGAGAGGTAGACAGGCCCTAAATACGTTTCTGCGGCTTCTAAGGGAATATTATTGGTCAAACCTACGGGCTCGGATAACACACGGTAAACTCGGCCTTGTGCCATATACATCTCTCTTCGGTGGTGGTGCTGTTAAATATTAACAGTCGACCAGACTGTTCATAAATGTCGAACTCTCTGCCTCGGCAGAGAGGAACCCGGATGAGGCTTTGTCGAAGGGCAAAGTTTCTTCCGGCGAGGTAGACATGCCCTGAACCCGTTTATGCGGGTTCTAAGGGAATATTTTTAGCCGAGCCCACGGGCTCAGATAACCCATGGTAAATTCAGCCTTGTGCCACATACATCACTCGTGGGGGTGGACTCTTAAATATAACAGTCGAATAGAATGTTCTACAGGGCTGCGACTGTTCGCAGCTGTTGTCGAACTCTCTGCCTTTTGGCAGAAACTGAACCCGGACGAGGATTTGCCGAAGGGTAAAGTTTAGTCCAGGCGGGTAGACAGACCCTAAACCCGTTTATAGGGGTTTTAAAGGAATATTTTTGACCGAGACTACGTGCTCGGAGAACCCACGGTAAACTCGGCCTTGTGCCACATACATCCTTCGTGGGGAGTGTCCGTTAAATATAACAGTCGATTGAACGCTGGGTCAACCGACACTCACTCACTAGTCGTGTAATACACTTTTGTTGTACTTACTGTTTAATATATAATATACCTGTAACACTTGTTTCATTATTTCTTGAACCATTTACTTGGTCACAACAGGCGGCCATTTCTTTCCTTTAATTCATGGCCAGTCTGTTGGAATTTCTATGGCTCATTATCCTGAACTATGAATTGTGGCTGTATCACCTCTTTTAGACGGCACCTTCAGTACACCCCACATATACCTTATTTTGGCCATTTCCATCATTCACTTCCGCTTTGTAAACCACTCCTGTTTTACAATCACTATCCATTTATTTCATCTCTAGTGTTGCACTTCTCTCTATCCAGTATAATTTGCTGCACGCTATCGTTGAAATTCTTGACATTTATTTTATATTATAGTCCTTAAATTTTCTAGGACAGCTGTAACTTAAATTCACTGTGTTTCTATTAAACATCTTGCGTAACGCAGAACTCTTTGGGAAGTACTTAGCAGGCAACTTGAATATATCTTCCTGATGTTAGATGTCGCCTCTAGATTAAACGTGTTGGGGGGGGACCAAATTAATTTTTTTTCATCCTTTCATTCCTCATTTGTTGATTTATTTGAAGTCTGAATTCCAATTTAGTCTTATGTCCCTCCTCTTTCAAGTCTTTCATCTGTTTTTCTTCGAAAATGGTTCGACAAGAAGGATTCCTGATTAATCTCCACTCGATTCATTTGGGGATGTACTTTGATTACACTTCAGGGTCGTTGGATATAACGTTCAAATACCTCAAATTTGTTTTGGGTTTTATGCAAGGCAAGACATTGCCATTTGCAGATTATCTCATATACACCTCAATTTCAAATTCAAGGCTCTTGAAGAGTTTTTTAAAAAGTTTTCTAATTCTGTTTTTTAGACTTATGTTGTCTAACAGTTCCATCAACCCGCCGTCCCTGTATAGCCCTTGATTGTCTCTGTGTACTATTTCGTTGATGATATTTAAAATATACAGGCCGATTGACTTGAAACCTTAGAACGAACCATTTTGATGAAGTACTAATGTATTTGTCGACTAATATCTGTCTAAACTGTGATTATGGATATGAGTGAATCAAAATAATAATATGAAAAATCTTAAAATTCTGGAATATAATTTCTTTTATATAAGTGATACGGCAAAACTAAATAAAATCAAATATGAGTATAGCAAAAAAAAAAAGTTGTTTTTTTTTTTTTAAAATATAAATAATAAGTTTTATATAAAAATATAAAATAATAAATTATATATAAATTATAAATATATATATATATATATATATATAAATTATAAAATATTATATTTGAAAATATTTTTATTTTATTTTTAACTATTTTGAAATTGAGACGCTGCAAATGAACAGTGAAAAATATTTTGAATTTACGGAGCTGCTGTATACACATCCACAGATATTAATCCCCTGAAGATTTGTCTCAGATGAGACTGAAAGCATTTGGGGAAATCAAAATTATTTGAAAGAAAATTTTCTTATTTTTCTTGATCGATTTCCAACAGCCAGCATTCTAGGATTTTAAATGATTAAAACTTAAATAAATAGACATAATACGTCTAAATTATTTAACCAAACCTGCTTATATATATATATATATATATATATATATATATATATATATATATATATATATATATATATATATATATATATATATATATATATATATATATATATATGTGTGTGTGTGTGTGTGTGTGTGTGTGTATAAAGTTTTAACAAGCCATGTCAAATTCACTATAATTGAAAAACAGAAAAGTACAGAAAAGATAACATTAAAAATGTTTAGAGGACTATGAAGACAAATGGATATTGCGCCTCAAAACACTGTCAAAATGATCAGGGAAATTTACAGGAGCATCAATCTACCCAGCCTCTATCTAAAAAAAAAATCAATTTAAAAGAGGTCGTTCGACTAACACAAGAACTGTCCAAAATTAACGATAAAAAACAAATGAAAACTACAGATAAAGTTCATTTTCTACAGAAAGGTATTCATTTCTATAATTCAATTTAACCAAACCTGCTTGAAGATATATATATATATATATATATATATATATATATATATATATATATATATATGGATGGATCGATGGATGGATGTATAATGACTGCGAATGTCGAAAGTACTTGAACAAAAAAAACAACAAAATACGGACGTCTGACAGTTTATGCACAAATTGGAGCACAATACACAACTACCTATCATGCCGAAATTTATTTAACATGAGTAAGTTCTTTTAAAATACGCTAATTTTTTTTTTTAATAAGAAAGGATTGTATTACTGGTATTTTTAACATAACATTTTTCTTCTTTCATAGTGTCTTGACCCGAGTTTAGGGGCTAAGACTTTTCCCTATATTTGGACCCTAGCAGGAGCTACCACCCAGAGTCAGGGTGGACCTGGGAACAACAGAAATTAAGAGTTGGCTCGATTTTCCTCAAAACCGCCAAATCAGAGGACTTGATGCCGGATGTAGTTTAACGTCTTACCTCGGAGAATCATTTGCATAAATGCTGGTCTAATATGGTTTGCATAAAGGCTGGCTTAATATAATATACCTATATATATATATATATATATATATATATATATATTTCTCACAAACATGATGTGACTTCCTCTGTCTTTTCTAGAAATATTTTCATGACAACTGCTCTTACTAGCTATTTTCACTTGTACTCCAAGTGCCTGAATTTAAGCGCACTATTAGGTTGGCATCACAGACCCACCCTTCTACTGTCGAAGCAGTTAAATTTAACCGCCTTTTCTTCTCCAACATCTTCTTCTATCGCCCTTCCCGACAATGAAACTCTCTTCCTCTTACTTGCTTCTGGTTGATGACTATAAACTTCATAAATTGATCTTGATCCCCCCGTCCTTCAATTTATCCTTTCAAACACCCACCATTTCTCGTAACTTCACTCTCTCTAACGCTTAGCGTGACAGTGCCACTCCACTTCCCCTGGGGTAAAAGCTTTTTATATATATATATATATATATATATATATATATATATATATATATATATATGAAGAGAGAAAGAGAGAAGAAATGAACGAGAGAGGAGTAAGAGGTGTTGTTATCTTTTTTACTTTAATATCAATCTCAATCTATTATGTTAATGCAAATTGGATTGTTCATATCAATCGATATCTATCGATGCCTGTCGGCTCCAGAGGTATCTAACTATATCCCTGTCTATTTCAATATGTCTGTCCTTTTCTACTTTGTCCTGTTCATATCTATTAGCCTGATCAGAACAATCTATCTCAGCCTTATCTATCTATCTATCTATCTATCTATCTATCTATCTATCTTAGTATGTTGCTATCGATTTATAAACATATATATATATATATATATATATATATATATATATATATATATAGATATATATATATATAGATAGATAGATAGATAGATATCAATCTCTTCATATCTATCGATCTCAGTCTGTTCATATCTATCTATCTTAGTATATTCTTATCGCTTTATCTATATAATATCTGAATCACTTCATATTTTTTTCTATCAGCCTCTTCCTATCTATCAGTCTCTGTTCAGAGCTATCTATCTATCTATCTAGCCTAGCTAGCTAGCTAGCTAGCTTAATATATTCTTAATATATCTATATATATATATTTATCTCAATCGCTTCTTATTTTTCTATCAGGCTCTTCATATCTATCAATTTTGTCTGCTCAGAACTATCTTTCTCTCTCTCTTTATTATAGTATGTTCTTATCAGTTTATCTCTCCCCCTCTCTCTCTTTATATATATATATATATATATATATATATATATATATATATATATATATATATCAATCCATTCATATTTTCTAACAGTCTGTTCATTATCGACAGCGCTATCTATCTATCTATCTATCTATCTATCTATCTATCTATCTATATCTATCTATCTTAGTATGTTATTATCAGTTTATCTGTGTACCTAGCGAGCTAGCTATCGCAATCTATTCATATTTTCTAACAACTCGTCCATATCTATCGATGTCAGTCTGCTCAGATCTATCTATCTATCTATCTATCTATCTATCTATCTATCTATCTCTCTCTCTCTCTCTCTCTCTCTCTATATATATATATATATATATATATATATATATATATATATATATATCATATATATATATCTTATATGTTCTTATCTGGTTTATCTCAATGTCTAATCGCTACGTCTTCATATTTTTCTACCAGCCTGTCCATATCTATCGATCTCTTTAGAGCTATCTATCTATCTATCTATCTATCTATCTATCTATCTATCTATCTATCTATCTATGTTCTTATCACTTTACCTACGTACATATCTATCTGAATCTCTTCATATTTTCTATCAGCCTGTTCATATTTATGTATCTCATTCTGTTCAGATCTATCTATCTATCTATCTATCTATCTATCTATCTATGGTCTTATTGGTGTATTTTATACCTATCTAGCGCAATTCATCATTTCTGAGCTTCTTCATATCTATCGTTATCAGTCTGTTCCTATCTATTTGTTTCATATCATTTTAAATGCATCTCCCATCAATTTGCATCTGCCTCTTTAAATGTTTTTTGAACGTATTTATTTCTGTCAATCGTTATAATATTCCTTCTGCAAACTGACAAGCACTTGACTCAATAAATTCGAAAATAAATGCACTTGCTGATACTTGAATATATAAACGTAAACTTAAAGAGAACCACGCACTCCCACACATGCAAACAACAAAATATATATAAATGTATATTACTAATATATACATATATGCAAAAATATACATTTCCTCTGCTGACATAGAAATATAGATCATTGTCACTTTTTATAGCTTTTTTGTTCTCGATCCTGGTGAATACAATGGACACTGTTGATGAGATGGAATATGATAAGTTAAATCTCACTCTCTCTCTCTCTCTCTCTCTCTCTGTTCTTTTCTTTCTTTCTCTCTCTCACTCACTCATTCTCTCTCTTTTTTTCACCCTCTCTTCCCCTCGCTTCTTTTGTTTCTCTCCTTCTCCCATTTCCCTCATTATCTCCTTTTACCCCTCCCTCCCTTCTCCTCTCTTCCTCTTACTCTCTCTCTCTGCCTTTTCTTTCTTTCTCTCTCTCACTCACTCATTATCTCTCTCTTTTCACCCTCTCTTTCCCTCGCTTCTTTTATTTCTCTCCTTCTCCCCATTTCCCTCTTACACTCCCTCCTTCTCTCTCTGTTACTCTCTCTCTGCCCTTTTCTTTCTTTGTCTCTCCCTCCCTCACTCATTATCTCTCTCTTTTCACCCTCTCTTTCCCTCGCTTCTTTTATTTCTCTCCCTCTCCCCATTTCCTTACTACCCTCCCTCCTTCTCTCTCTCTATCTCTCTCTCTCTCTCACCAGTAGAAATAGAGCATCAGGTTGGGGCTGCTGGTGCAATAGAAGGCAACTGCCAGAAACATTTGTTTTGGTATCCTAAGTTAAATCTCTCTCAGCCTTTCTCTCTCTCTTTCTCAGCCTTTCTCTCTCTCTCTCTCTCTCTCTCTCAGCCTTTCTCTCTCTCTCATTCATTCTCTTTTCCATCCTTTCTCCCTATATCTTTCTCTCTTTCTCTCTCTTTCTTCCCCACTTTCACTTTTTCTTTCTCCCTCATTCAATCTTTCTCCCAATTTTTCTCTCTATTCTATGTTACCTCCACCGCATGTCAATTTCCACTGGAAATAGAGCATCATGCACGTGCTGGAGGTACAAGGCAACTGACAGAGATCTTTCCTTTCTTATCCTAAGTTAAATCTCTCTCCCTCTTGTCTTTCTCTCTCTTTCCCTCTCCCGCTTTCTATTTCTCTCTATCCCTCACTCAGTCTCTCTCTCTCTTTCTCAATCCCCCTCTCACTTTCTTTCCCTCCTTCCTTCTCTCTTTCCATCACTCATCCTGTCTCTTTCTCCCTCTCCCCTCTCCCCTTCTCTCTATTTTCCCCCTCCGTCTCTCTCTTTCCAATAGAAATAAAGTATCAAGGTGGGGCTGGAGGCACCATAGAAAGCAACTGAAAGAAACTTTTCTTTTGCTATCCTAGGTTAAATCTCTCTATCTCCACCCGTCTTCCTCTCTCTTTCTCATTCTCATTATCCTTTTCTGTCGTTTTCCCCTCACTCATTCTATCTCTTTCTCTCCCCTACTCTCTTTTACTCTCTCTTTACCCTCTCACTCATTTTATCCCTTTCTCTTTCTCCCTTTCTCTCTCTCTCTCTCTCTTTCTACTCTCTAATTCCCCTTCTCTTTCTCCTTCTCTCTTGCGGTAAAAAGACAACTGGCAGAAACCTTCCTTTTCCCATCCCATGCTCATCATTTCGATGTTCAATATATTAGCATGCACATATATGACAGATCTGTCAATTTTGGCCGTGAAACAATAACTTGATTCATACGCGCTTCGTTAGTTCGTCTTATCTTTTCAGAATATTATAGCTCTGATAGCGTGCAATCTATAGAAACACGGCTCTGTGATTCAGTCACCCAGTCCGTGATATGTCTCCAAATGACCTTCTTTTTTTTATCTGCCAGCTTGTGTTTCAACTTTGGACAAGAACGTGTTAAAAGGTAATCGCGTACAGATTTCTTTGTATACAGAAATATCACATTTTGTACTTACATATATATACTTATATATTCTTCCAATGCGCTTCCAATAACTAACTGATCCGAACTTGCAAAGAAGTCCGTGGCCACATCGAATCTGCTCTCCAAGTTGATTCATTTATTGAAATACTTTTTTTTTTTCTGTCCTTAGCTGTACACTGCCATTATATATCTTTTGACTAGCTAGCTCGTGCAAAAATGAAGCAACTCTGCTTATCTGGGCTGGAGATGAAGGTGGTCAGTAATAACTCTCCAAACTTTAACGAGTTCAAAAATGTCTACCCTACCTTATGAATGATGAATTATTTTCAACTCTCGAACAATTTTCCCATATACGAAACGTATCAAGCTTCTGTTTACTCTATCACTATTTCATGAAAAATGTTGTCAACTGTTATATTCATTTGTTATATCAGTCGAGGCCTCCACAGCTAAGACCCGACATGTCACATATACCACCATACATACTCCATTAATTAAAACAAAATCCATTTCGATCGCTTTTTCCTAAGAATCGATACTAAGTGGCTGCTTTCCCGATCCCTCTAATCGCGTACAGGATCAACTATTAGCTTTTCTACATATAACCCTAGTACCCTACTTAATTATTTCTCTTATGCCCTTCAGCAACCTCCTTCAGTAAACATTTACTTTGAGCGACTCTTGAGCCTTTTAATCAGATATTAAAAGAATCATGCGTTTCTTCGTTTTCGGTGGCTTATCAACCCTGGGCACGTTATTTACACTATTTACCTTGTTTGGACCGTTGTTCTCATCTTCGTTGCCATATTCACGGCTTTTCGGCCGTTGTACATTCCGGGCTTCTTCAGGTGATTGGAATTTCGAGCCGAACCCTTTATTTCGTTCACCTGGGTAGATTGTTCTAGTTCCACGTGTCATGCCTCTTCTAGATATCTCAGTTTCGGTTATTTCGCTTTCAACTCTCCAAGTTTTTTGTTCACCTCTGCTGTGCATAGGTATTGAACTCACAACCGTTTGGATCAATTCCTGGATTACTTCATTCAACGTTTTTTATCCATATGGCCAGGTTACTGAAAAACAGAAAATATTTTTTAATTGTAAGAATTTATTTTGAAATAATAATAATTTAATGATACATGACCTACTAATTAACCCATAGCTGGGGGAGATTAGACGGATTCTTATTTTCAGCTTTTAAGATATTGGAGGAATCGAGGAATCGGAGAGCTGAGTTCGAATTCCAGTCGAATCCATTACATTCATTTACGTGCTAATACCCTTGAGAAGGGTATGAATCCTCTTCTTCTCCCCATCAGCTATTGCTAAATAGAAGGACAGGCCGGGTTCTATAGCTTTGGGTGTCATCTGGTCTACGGCAGAAAGAAATAACAAACTACTGCGGGAAAAAAAATCTGCCTCGTCAGTCATGTATCTCGCATGTCACACAACTGACTGATATTCACTTACGTGCTAATATTCTTGGGAAAGGTATGGATACTTTTCTTCCCACAAGATATGGGTAAATAGCAGGACAGATCGGGGTCTGTAGCCTTGGATGGTAACCGGTCTACCACAAAAAGGAATGGCAACTTAACGCGGGAAAAAAACTCTGCCTCGTCAGTCATGTATCGAATGATACATAATAGCCTAAGAGTGTATCAGGTATGGCACATAAGTAACTGACTGAAGATATTGTATTTGGAAATAATAACAAAAAGAATTTGACATAGCTCGGCATGAAAACGTACTTGACGGATAGGTAAATTTGAATTACAAGATAAAAATATTAGTATAATCCGAAGCATTTACTAAGAATAAGGAGTGAGAAAATGTTGTACAGATACCCGGATGTTACTACTAAAGGTAGAATACATAGACTTCTACCGAGACCAAAGACAAACGTGCTTTTAAGTAGGGCAATTCAGTCTCGTTTTGGTGTAAAGAGTCCCTATTATTTAACGGTAAAGAAATCGTAACAGTTTCTTTATTTAAGAAAAAAGAATAACTGTCATCAATTGGAATGAAAAACAAAATCGTATTAAAAATTAAGTCTCTAGAAATTAATTGAGCTTGAATTTTTTCGATCTGGAAAACGACCTTTAAGCTAGGCGTACTTAACAGCTCGGTCACCAAATGTTAATTGCACTTTTAAGCATTCTTATACAAACCATGTTTGGTAGATAACGCAAAAGAATTTGATAAGGCTCGACAAGTAGACGAATTTGTCTGTAAGGTAAGCTTGGCTTATAAGATAAAGATATAAATGTAATCCGAAACATTTACTCAGAATTAAATGTGAGACAATGGTTTAAAGATATGAGGATGATAGTAATATCTTTTCGTTTTCTGTGGTTTATCAACCTTTTTCAGATTATTTAAAGCTAGAAAATAATTTTAGACTGCAATAATTTTATAGATGGTTTACCTCTTCAAGATTTACTAATTAACCCATACAGGGGGGAAGATGTAAATTCAACCATTTGCCAAGATTATTTTCGCCTAAGTGAATATAACAAACCAAACGGGAATTGGAACTCAGATCTCCAATTGATAATTGCCTGCTATTATCAATTAAACCAACCGCACCTGATATTTCCAAGCGGTCAGCCATCGAAGTATTGACGAGGCTAGATGTTCGGTGTTTCAACGTGATGCGGCTGTAAGCCTGCGGATGGCACTAATGATGCTGACTTAAAGATGAACAAGGGGCCAGGAAAAGTTTGCAAAGTAAAGCAAAGAGAAAGTATTGATAATTAATTTTAAAGGGGTCAAAGCAAAGTGTATACCTCGTAATCTTCAGACAGGAACGGAAGAGTGGAAGATGGCCGAAGTTGTGGTATGTGACAACCAAAAGTAACTTACTGATTGCAAAATCAAAGCAAATTATATCGTTGTCGGTTTTATCTCGTCTCCATGAATTAATTACTTCTTTGCTGATTGCTTCCTTTAGGATGATGGCGTTGATGACTAAACTCGCCACAAACGTGCAGTTTCATAACTACAAAATTGCAGCTTCAGCAAAATCTGCTCCCATCATCGATTCCATAACTCCTTTTGGGTTTGCAAGATTTGGTTTGGAGGTGAAACATAATCAGAATAGGAGAAAGCGTCAATGGAATCAATGTGTTTATGGTGGATATCGACTTTTCATGAAGTCACCCACACACTTAATTTCTGTGGCACATATAAAATGAGACATGCAGAATCCAGTTATGAAACGGCAAACGACTGCAGCTGATTCTGTTATAATTTCGATTGGCGCCTTCTATAGCATGTCCGTCAGGCGTAGCCCTCTTCATCCGCTGGTTGAACCGTTGGGATCTGATGTAATCGTCATCCGCTTGTTCCACCGTTGGGGGTTTGGGGAATGGTCGCGCTTAGTCTGGGTCCCCGTCATATACGTTGCCGCCTAGAATGAGTTTAGAACTCCCTACGGCATTGTTTTCAGAATATTTGGACCACGCAAGCCCCACGCCAACGACAAGGAGCAACCATCAGAGGTATGCAAATAGAAGTATACAAGCATGAGCATGTTTGAATATTATTAGGTATATAAGAGCTTATTTACAACATATTATTTGTTAGAGTGTTTATCCCTTAAACTGAGGAGACAAACACAAACACACACGCAGATACTCGCACGGGCATATATACATTCATATATTTAGTTCCCCTTGTCCCCTATAGAACATGGGTTTCTTTTCTGAACGAAAGGTGACCAGGAGATCGCGTATTCATTGATTTATTTGGACGCGCAAATAGTTAGAGTTTTATTGTATACAGGCTTTTATTATAATAAAATACTCATTAAAATTAGAGTTTCGTAAGGCCAGGCTGTACAGCTATTTAAGAAAAAGGATAGATTCATACATTTCCCAACTTTAAGGGAATGTAATGAACGCGAATGGAATACGAACTAGGGTCTCCGATTCCTCAATCCGAGCGCTAAACCCTATTTCATCATCCTACAGCCACTTTCTCCCCACCTTCTGTCTCTCACTTTCTCTCTCTCTCTCTCTCTCTCTCTCTATATATATATATATATATATATATATATATATATATATATATATATATATATATATATATATATATATATATATATATATGTATGTGTGTGTGTGTGTGAGAGAGAGAGTGTGTGTGTGTGTGTGTAGACAAACCACACACACAAACACACACACACACACACACACACACATATATATATATATATATATATATATATATATATATATAGATAGATAGATAGATAGATAGATTGATAGATAGACCGAGTGAGCCAGACAAACCTATCTAGGTAAGAGCCTTACTTTCCCTGACGATCCGTTTAGGTGAAACCTAGGTAGGTTTGTCTGGCTCACTAGGTTTATCTAGGGTCTGCTCTACAGTTGTATTGAGCTCTTTTGTTAGTTAGTTGTTACTCGTATCGGGGTTTTTTCTTTGGGCTTCAGACCTGCATCTGTGCGATTTTTTTGTTGGCAGAAGTCCATGTTTGTAGCTCTTTCTTTTTAAAACCTTTTTTCCCTCGAGATTGATTTGATTATTAGCAAATCAAAAAATTGAGGGTTTTTTCGAAAAGAGTCTAGTTATCTATCTATCTCTCTATCTCTCTCTCTCTCTCTCTCTCTATATATATATATATAT